AAATGTTGCAGGGTTTTTAAATTAGCTAATGCAGTGGAGACAACAAAGACTTTGTCCAGCTTTGATTGTATTTGCATTCAGATTTCAAGCGGCCACAAATTCAATGCATTCTTTAACTTCACAGACAAGCTTCTGGAAACTACTGACATTCAGAGTCAACATTCTGTGCTATCACAAAACTAAAGTCAGCTCCAATGCAGAATCTTTCCAATCATAGTGCATTTGGTCTCTTGAACCACCATTTTTAGTCTTTTGATTTTCAACAGTGCCAGTAAAAACATTCTTTTATTCTATGACTGACAATAACTAATTTTCCTTGTAAGACACTTATTATAACTAACTTACATAAAAATATAGATTGTCTAAAAAAATAGCAGAGCAAATTTTTAAAGATCTTATTTATTGGCTTTATTAAATGATTCATGAATCTGGCAACATCCCATCTAGCAGATAGAAAGGAGCTCTGAGGCACTGCACAAAATGAAAGACTTTATAGGCAAAAGGGAGTGGGAACAAAGAAGTTATACTAGCAAAAAGTGGATTGGCTGTGGTAAGGTCACTTTCCTTTAGGAGACGGCAGGGGGCTATCAGCCAGATTACCCCTTTAGTGATGATCAGGTAGTTCCTGATTGACTGGTTTAAGATTCCATTTTGGAAAAGGTCAAAACTGTAATTAAATTAAGTCTAAGTTTGGTGATGTGGGGCATAGCATGAGTGACTCCACTGAAGGGCCTGTTGTCTTGTTTTAACAAGATAAACAGACTTGATAGAGAGACATTTCTTGGAATCAGAGCCACTGGCTCTAGATTTAAAAACCCTTTTTGTAAATTATGCTCTAATCTAAAATCTGGGTATATGTTTGACTTCACTGGCTCAATTTAACCAGAAAAAAAAGAACAGCAAAGGACAATTTGTGGCATACAAATATTTTAAACCTATGTTTCTTTCTTTTTTTTTAAGATTTTATTTTACAGAGAGAGAGAGAGAAAGCACAAGCAGGGGGAGAGGAAGGCAGAGAAAGAGGGAGAAGCAGGCTCTCCGTGGAGCAGGGACCCCAACACAGGACTTGATCCCAGGACCCTGGGATCATGACTGAGCCTAAGGCAGACGCTTAACTCACTGAGCCACCCAGGCACCCCTAAAACTATGTTTTTCTATCACTGACCAATTCTGACCTCCCAGTCTAAGAAAGCGATCTCTCTCCTCCATCATTCTCTAGGTCTCAGCTGCTTTATGTGTCTTCAGTGCACCTATCAATCAATACTTGAAATATTGTACCATCTATTTCTTTTTCCAACTCATTGTCCTCACCATGATGGAGCTTTGCATTGCCTGGTTCAGAATCCCCAGTTCCTGGGAACTGGGGTGAGATTCAAAATGTGTGTTGAATTATTAAATAGATAACAGGTTAATTATATTAGAATGAAAATACTTGGAAAAGTTGTAAAATCAAATTGTAACTTATTTTATCATTTCTTTTTCTTTCTTTTTTTTTAGTAAGTAAACTCTACTATCAAGATTTTCATGCTCTGGGATGCCTGGGTGGTTCAGCAGTTGAGCGTCTGCCTTTGGCTCAGGGTGTGATCCCATAATTCTGAGATCAAATCCCACATCAGTCTCCGTGCGAGGAGCCCACTTCTCCCTCTGCCTATGTCCCTGCCTTCTCTCTGTGTCTCTCATCAATAAAATAAAATCTTCTTTAAAAAAATTTAAAAAGAGTCTCATGCTCTAACAACTGAGCCAGCCAGGAACCACTATAACTTATTTTAAAAAGCATGGCACACGTAGTACATATATAGTGATTGGCACTAGGGTGAAAATTTCACTAGGGTGAAAAATTTGACAATTGACATCCTAGTGAAAATAAAAAGTAGACTTACTGATTCAAAATATCTAGGGGTGCCCAGCTGGCTCAGCCTGTAGAATATTTGACTCTTGATCTTGAGATTGACAGTTCAAGTGCCACATGGGCTTGGAGTTTACTTTTAGAATAAATAAATAGGGGCACCTAGGTGGCTCAGCAGTTGAGCAACCGCCTTCAGCTCGGGTCGTGATTTCAGGGTCCTGGGATCGAGTCTCACATGAGGCTCCCTGTGGGAAGTCTGCTACTCCCTATGCTTATGCCTCTGCCTCTCTCTGTGTGTCTCTTATGAATAAATAAAATCTTTAAAATAAATAAATAAATAAATAAATAAATAAATAAATAAATAAATAAATAAATAAATAAATAAGAAATTGGGTTGTCTAGCTGGCTCAGTTGGTAGAGAATGCCAAAAAAATAAAACTCTTGATTTCAGGGTTGTGAGTTCAAGCTGAACAGTAGGTATAGAAATTACTTAAAAATTTTGTTTTAGGGGATCCCTGGGTGGCTCAGTGGTTTGGTGCCTGCCTTCAGCCCAGGGTGTGATCCTGGACTCACGGGATCGAGTCCCACATCGGGCTCCCTGCATGGAGACTGCTTCTCCCTCTGCCTGTGTCTCTGCCTCTGTGTTTGTGTGTGTGTGTGTCATGAAAGAATAAATAAAATCTTAAAAAAAATTTTGGGAGGCAGCCCGGGTGGCTCAGCGGTTTAGCGCTGCCTTCAGCCCAGGGTATGATCTTGGAGACCTGGGATCGAGTCTCACATTGGGCTCTCTACATGGAGCCTGCTTCTCCCTCTGCCTGTGTCTCTGCCTCTCTCTCTCTCTCTCTCTCTTTGCTCTTATGAATGAATAAATAAAATCTTAAAAAATGATACCTTTAAAAAATAAAAATAAAAATTTTTTAAATATCTTAATATTATCTGCATAAAGATCACACACACATCAAAGAGAAACATATATATTTTTTAAAGATGTATTTTAGGGATCCCTGGGTGGCGCAGCGGTTTGGCGCCTGCCTTTGGCCCAGGGCGCGATCCTGGAGACCCGGGATCGAATCCCACGTCGGGCTCCCAGTGCATGGAGCCTGCTTCTCCCTCTGCCTGTGTCTCTGCCTCTCTTTCTCTCTCTGTGACTATCATAAATAAATAAAAATTTAAAAAAAAAAGATGTATTTTATTTATTTGAGAGAGAGCATACATGGACAACCTGTTGGGGGGAGTGGCAGAGGGAGAGAATCTCAAGCTGACTCCCTGTTGAGCACAGAGCCCAAATCAGGGCTCAATCCCAGGACCCGTGAGATTGACCCATGAGACATGACCTGAGCAGAAACCAAGAACTAGACACAGCCAACTGAGCTACCCAGGCACCCCAAATTATACACTTTAAGTGGGGTAATTGCTTGGTAGGTAAATCATTTCTCAACAGAGCTATTTTAAAATCATATTAAAAGTAAATCACATGCAGAGTTTAATGCGGAGAGTGGGGTTAAGAGCTAGCTCTGAGGCTGGATGGCCACTTCTAGCGATGTGGCCCAGAGCTTCACTTAACCATTCACTTCATTTCCTCATCTGAAATTGGATGATGAATCCTCTTGATAGGTTGTTGTGAGGATAACATGAGTTAACACATGTAAAGTGCTAGAAAGCAGCCTGCCAGGTTGCAAGCATTCCCTTAGGCTACTCTTGTGGACAAAGGTGCTGTCACCCAGGGGTCCTAGTGCCCTTGAGGTCATAGCCTGAGGAGCAGACACATCAGTAGGGAACCTCCTTACACACTTAGTGGTGGTCTATCCACCAAGTGGATAAAGGGGTACCCTGAGATAGGGAACTCTGAAATATGTTGTGACAATGGGAAGATTTTTAAGGATTTTATTTATTTATTCATGAGAGCGAGGGAAAGGCAGAGACATACGCAGGCTCCATGCAGGGAACCCAATGTGGGACTCCATCCTGGGACTCCAGGATCATGCTCTGAGCCTAAGGCAGATGCCCAACCACTGAGTCACCCAGGCTTCCCAAGATTTTTTTTTTTTTTTTTTTAAGATTTTATTTGAGAGACAGCAGGAAGGTGGGGCAGGAGAGAGAGAAGCAGGTTCCTGGCTGAGCAGGGAGTCCGACAAGAGGCTCCAGGGGGCTCCGATCCTAGGACTCCGGGATCATGACCTGACCCGAAGGCAGACACTTAACTGAGACACCAAGGCGCCGCTTAGGCTCTACACCCAAAGTGGAGCTCGAACCCACAACTCCAATATCAAGAGTCATATGTTCTACCGACTTAGCCAGCCAGGCACTTGGGAAGGTAGTTAGTTTAGTTTAGTTTAGTTTAGTTATTGGTAACTTGTTGAGTGTCAAGGACCCCTAGCAAGTGAAGAGGAGGTGCGTCCATGAGATCCTCTGATCACAAGGTGGAGGGCTTGAGAAATCTGGTGGACGAGACCCCCGGACAAGGATGCTAAGGGGCTTGTGGGGGGGAGGGAAGCATTACCGAATCTGACAGAAGCAGAATGACAGTCACTGAGAAGTGACGTGGCCTGGCCTCCGTTCGGTGAGCCGTTTCCGCCTGTCTCCTTTTACACGGGTCTGCAGCCTCCTCTCTCGCCCTAGTCTGGAGCCCTGCCCAAGTCCAAGGTCCCCTGCCGGCTTCCCGGCCTCCCGCCCGTCCCTCAGGCCGCCCTGCTCTCGTCTTCCTCCTTCTGGCCTGCTCTGGACTCAGCAACTGGGCTGCCCCTTCCACCTTAGCTATTCTTCACAGCCTCTAGGGCCCCAGTTGCTCAAGACCACGACTTCCGGAAGACCGTGACAATCATGCGGCCACGAACGTACGAGGAGACGGACGGAGACTTCGCCAAGACTCAAACCGAGTCGCGACCCTTACACAGCGACGAGACGGCCGAGCGGCTGCGCGTGCGCAAGAGGACGGCTGCGGACGAGCGCGCCGCTGAACCCGAGCAGCCAATCCACGCGAGGACGCGAGACAGAAGAGCCCCGCCCCCGCCACCCGGGCCGTCGCCTCACGGGCGGCTTCACCCGCGGCCCCGCCTCGGCCGCCATCTCTTAGTGCTGACTGGCTGGAAGCCACACGATTCTATTTCAATTGGCTGCCGTTCGGTCCTTTGCGCGAAGGGGGAGCTCGGTAATGGAGGGCCTCCTGTCCTGGGCCTCGGGGAGGTCGGAGTCCGCCAGAGATAGCCCAGCGTCAGCCAGTGAGAGCCCGGCTCCTACTCTGCAGTGCCGAGGGGAGTGGCCGCCGCGGAGGTCCCTATATCCCCCTTCGTGGGACCCCCGCCCCCGCTCCGTGCCCGTATCCCCTCTTCCGGATGGCCCTTGGGATCCGCAGCGAAGGGCCCCTCCTGCTGCCTTCCTGAGGCACGAGAGTCGGCCAAGGCCTAGAAGAGCCCTCAGAGGGCCGCCCTCGCACCCTGCCTCACAGCCGCTAACCGCCTCGCACAGGCTGCATCTCATGTCCAACCTTCATCCCCCAACCCCCATCCTCAAAGGGAGTGAGCCCCAGATCTGGGGGCCCAGACTAGCCCTCAATACACATGGGGGGACCTGCCAAAAATGCAGAAAGGCAGAAAGACGAGCAGCGAGACCCCTGAGAGAGGCGGCCCAGGAGGTGGGTCTGGGTGGGGCCTCAGTATGTATTTCTCATAGGGATGAAACATCGGAGACAACTGGGAAAAGCCTCAGAGGAGAGGGATAACCTCTCCCCTCACCAATGGGGTCTTCTCCCCCCTCTACCAGACCCCCTCAAAACAGACAATCCCAGCCTTCTGCTGATACTGATATTCAGTCTTGGAAGGTAAGAAAAAAAAAAAATGCTCCCACTACGTGCCAGGCAAGATGCGAGTCACTTCTCTTTTATTTCTGGTCGATCTTAGAAATAATTCCTGTTTTATTGCCTTTCCTCAGGGAAGTTAATGGCTTTGAGGATGCATCTCTGTTTTCCACAGAGCAATAGTTGGTGCTTGCAGAAGAGGGAAGGTCACAGTTTGGGAGTGTGAGGAGGTGGGGCAGTCATTGACACGAGCAGAGGCAGGATCCTGAGAGTCAGCGCTGATTTTCAGGCCGCCACTCTTGGCAACAGACTTCCCTCCTTCTACACGAGGTCCTTTGTATACTTTGCAACACTGACTCCAGAAGGGGAAGAAGGACTTTAGAACTGGATCTTGCAGTTTTCTCTCTCTCAACTCTTAACACCTCCCAGCTGTCATCTGCACCCACCCTTCTAAGTCTGGCTCTCCATCACCCACTCTTCCCAGCCTTCCATCACCCCAAGGTTTGATTTCCCTGTAAGCCTCAGTGCCTCTTACCCAGCTCTTCCATTTGGTAGATAAGAAATCAGACCCAAATAGATGGCTCCAGAGATTCTGATGAGGAATGCATGTCCAAGAAGCAGGGCTATGACCAGCCCTACTTGAAAGTGATTTCCTGAAAACAGTTCGCTGCCAGGCCAGCCTCTCAGGTATTATACTTTGAGAGAGCGGTTGTTCATCCTAAACACTGCTAATGAATGAATGGACAATTTAGTGAACACTTCTTAATATGCAAAACTTCTAAAGGTTTCAACACCCACTTTCATGACCATTTATAAGTACTGGTTTTATTTTTTAAGATTTTATTGATCTATTCATGAGAGAGTGAGAGAGACACAGACGCATAGGCAGAGGAAGAAGCAGGCTCTCCCGCAAGGAGCCCAATGTGGGACTCAATCCCAGACCCCTGGATCATGTCCTGAGCCAAAGGTAGACGCTCAACCTCTGAGCCACCCAGGTGTCCCAATAGGTACTGCTTTTAATATCTAAGAAGATAAATTCATTAACCTGGGAACTGACTTTGCACCACTTCCAGTGTAGAAGGCATTGCTGCCTGCCACTGAGGGAATGGCCAGCCTTTGAGGCCCCCCAGAGGGGCAGATGCACTACTCAGCCATGGTGCGCCTACACCTACAGCCAGTTTTGGCAAAATGAAGAAATGAGGTAGTGACTTACCGTTGTGCTTGCAGAAGTCACACACAGGTAGCTGGGCTCCCTCTACCTGATTTTGCCTCTGGCTCAACCTATCCCCCTACCTTGGACCAGTGTCAATACCACCAGACTCAGGTGAAGTTTTCTTTCTACGTTTTTCTTTTTTCTTTTTTTTTTTTTTTTTTTAAGATTTTGTTTATCTATTTATTTGATGGGGCACCTCGGTGGCTCAGTCAGTTAAGCGTCTGCCTTTGGCTCAGGTCATGATCCTGGGGTCCTGGGATTAAGCACCCCATTGTGCTCCCTGCTCAGCAGGGAGTCTGCTTCTCCCTCTCCCCCTGCTCATGCTCAATCTCTCATTCACTCTTTCTCTCAAATAAATAAAATCTTTATTTTTAAAAAATTATATATATATTTATTTGAGAGAGAGCACAAGTGGAGTGAGGGGCAGAGGGAGAGGGAGAAGAAGACTCTCCGTTGAGCTGGAAGCCCAATGCAGGGCTCAATCCCAGGGCCCTGGGATCATGACCTGAGTTGAAGGCAGCTGCCCGACCACCTGAGCCACCCAGTTGCCCCTTCTTTCTACCTATCTGTTAAAGATGATACTATCTCATGGTGCCAGGGCTAGGAGTGGAGGATCCCTGAAGAGGGCAGAAGCTGCAGGGCAGAGCAAAGACACTAGGGCCTTCTGGAGAAGTGGACATAAGGTCCTTTTTATACTTCCTTTCTCTTCTCTGGAATGTGCTTTCTCCATGGGGGGCTCTCTACCAATGACCCCCTGTCTCTTATATTGCAGATTTCTTTTTGTGTATATCAGGGCCATTCCCAGCTACAGTTACAGGGAACTGAGCAGCATAATCAGATGTCACAATCACCACAAACCTTCAGAGTAGGCTCGGTCATGGTTCCTACTTTATGGATGAATAATTAGGCAGAAAGGCTGAATTAGTTGCTCGGGTGCACATAGCAAGTAACTAACAGAGCCTGGATTTGACTTCAAAGTATATGCAATTAATGGTTCTTCTGGATCTCAAGGTTAACAAACTTTCCTCACACCAGGTCTGGGAGGCACTCATTCCACAAATACATATTGAGGGCTCCATGCTCCTGCAGAACCTACACCAGAAACCTCAGAGGTCAGTCCTATCATTATTCCATTTTAGAGGAGAAGGAACGGACGCTCCGGATGATGAAGGAGCTACCTCAGCTTACCCAGTGAGCAAATGGCAGGCTGTGCTTCAACTCTAGCTCTTTCTGGTCCCAGACCCCCTGGGTTTGAACCCACAGAAACTGAATCCTTTTTTTTTTTTTTTAATTTTATTTATTTATTCATGAGAGACAGAGAGAGGCAGAGACACAGGCAGAGGGAGAAGCAGGCTCCCCGCAGGGAGCCCTATGTGGGGGACTCAATCCCAGGACCCTAGGATCACGCCCTGAGCCAAAGGGAGACAGACGCTCAAACACTGAACCATCCAGGCATCCCAGAAACTGAATCTTGAAGGCAGGGAGCACCATGGAAGGTTTTCATGAGAAGGTGAACATATTCACACTAGGAATATCCTCCCCCTTCCTACTCACCCTTTCTCCTCACCCTGCCTTTCAGGGCTTTGTTTTCCCTCCCTGATCCCCAGCACTGGGAGCGTCTGGTGGCTTCCTGTCTTCATTGACTCAACAATTCAATTAAAATCTATTTATTGGTGTCCAGGAATAGAGAGGCCTTTGGGAATAAGAGAGGCAACAGTCCTGCCTTCAGCTGATCACCATCCAGTGGCAAAAGCAGTGAACACAGGAATTGGGGAAGAAGGAGAGGCCTGGGGTCATCCTGACCCAGGGGCACAGGCTAAAAGCATGTGGTGGAGGGAGGGATGAAAGGGGAGTTTGGCCAGAAGCACATAAGGCAGATATGGGGGTCCATAGAGGGAAGCAGCCCACTATTTAGCCTGGAGTTGCAGTCTTCCTCCTGGCACTACCCCTCCCCTGACACTCTGTGGAGCAGGCAGGAAACCAGGGTCTGGGCCAGGGTGGTTTCTAATCCCAGCCATCAGTTTCCCTAGGCTAAGTGGGTGTCTGGGACTCGTCAGAGGGTGGGCAGTCCTGAAGAGTGCCATCAACCCCAGCCCTCCCCCTCAATAAACACCCAGTCCAAGGAAAAACAATGGGACCACTGAGCAAATGGAGCCTCAGCACCAGTCCCTGACTCGTAATCAACTCAGCTGTCCCCAGGATACCCCACACAGAAGTCCTGGAACCCCCCAATGCTGGCACAATAACCCAGAAACATCCTGTCCCCTTCCAGCACCCCTCTGGACCCCTCTTTTAGGATCTAGGTGAGCTGAAGAAGCTGAAAGTCCATCTTCTCTAGAGAAATGTCTTGAGGCCCAGCCCGGCCCTCTCCCACCACCTCTCCCACTACCTCTGATGGCCCTGGGGCCTCCAGGAGCTCAGCTCTGCACTGGGTGTGGTAGGGCAAGCTGTCTCAAGAGCACAGTGTGGGGGAGGAGGCGGGGAGAGAAGGAGCTACAGGAATCTTTTTTTTTTTTTTTTTTTTTTTTTTTTTTAGCTACAGGAATCTTAAGGAATCTGACCAGTTCCCTCCTGTCTGCCCGTATTGTTGCCCTGGGCGGAGCTGCTGGGTTTAAAGAGCTGGAACCCACCTGAGTTGAATCCAGCCCCAGCAGCCTTTCCAGATCTGCGCTCTGCTCTCAGGTGAGTGTCTTCTAGGACTTCAGGACTGCTAAGCAGAAGGGTGACAGAAGAAGAGTGAGGGTGGAGGGGGTACCAGTCTGAGGAAGAGGTGGTGGGTGCCCAGTTATTCTCAGTAACAGGATGCATGTTTGAGGTGTTTGATGGTTGGAGGCCACTTGCTCTGTGACCACTATCATATAGACAGTGGGTTAGGGGCGGGAGGAAACAGGAACCAGTCTTTGGCTAAAGAATATGTAAAGTGGAGTTGCAACCCCCATGACTCAGGAATCCTAGGGTGGTGAGAGGGGATGAGTCTAAAGGAGGCCAGCTTCGGAGACTGCTAAAAGCCGATAAACTCTCACATTCAGAAGCTGCATATTACTAGTCCCTCCCATCTAGGGCAAAAGGACCCATGTATGTATGTAACTACCTATCAAAGTTTCCTTATTAAGTCATTCATGAATCAGCATCCCATTTAGCAAATAGAGAGCTATGTATTTATTTATTGTAACACATTTCATTACTCATTATACTTAGGCTTCACATATAGTAATTCATTTAATTCAATCATAACCTTATGCAGTTGCTATTAATTTTCCTTGTTTTATAGGACACTGAAGCACCGAGAGGTTAAGTAACCCACTGAGTCACACAGCTGTTAGGTGGTTTTGAGGGGATTAGAGTTCCAGCCCGTTGGGCCCAGTAGATAATAGGGGCTTTAGTTTGCAACAGCTGATAATCCCTAAATTTGCCTGTAGCGAACAACATGCAGAGAGCTGGAAGGGGTCTTAAGGAAGGAGCCACTAGAAACTCGTGGGATAGTTCCCACCCCAAGGGAAAAGAAAGAAGCAATGTTCCTTCCACCCACCAGGCAGTTTCCTGCTATGGAATTTGGGGCTGCCCTGGAGTAGGATCCCTGGCTGGGGCTGGGATGGGAGGCTCTCACATGCTCCCCTACCACCTTTCCCCTGCTCTGCTGCACAGCCCTGGATACCCTGGCCCTTTGCAGAGACTATCTTGGAATTCATCCTGATACTGCCCGGGGCCCAGACCTTTGGGAACAATAGCTCAGGGTACCTTAGCCTTTTGACTGGGGGTTAGGAACCAAAGGCTGAGTTAGAACAGTAGCCCTGCTCCTCTGACCTAGGGTCAGACATCTGATTAAAGACTTTAACAAATCACTTACTATGCGCAAGCAAGGTTCTAAGTACTTAACTAGTATTAACTCAATCCATGTAACTCCACTAGGCGTTTACTATTACCATCTCTAGATAAGGAAACAGAAATTAGTAACTTTCCCAAGACCACCTCATAAACCAAGTGCACCCTCAGGATCTGTGCCCTGGCTCTTTGCCCCAGAACCTGGGGCAGATCCCAGTTGTCTGATCTCAACCCGCCCTCCTCCCCTGCAGCCCCCCTCTCAGCCGTACCATGAAGAGAATGACCCAGGGCCTGCTCCTCACACTGGCAGGTGAGTCCTCCCAGAATGAACCTCCTGCCACTTACCCTCTCAACCAAGGCAGTGAAAACGAGGGCAGTATTTCCCAAAGGGGGTCTGATGTCGAACAAATGGATTTTCATCTAAACTGTCAATTTAGCGTGGCACAGCGGTTTAGCGCCGCCTGCAGCCTGGGGTGTGATCCTGGAGACCCAGGATCGAGTCCCACATCGGGCTTCCTGCATGGAGCCTGCTTCTCCCTCTGCCTGTGTCTCTGCCTCTCTCTTCGCTCTCTCTGAATGAATAAATAAATAAATCTTTAAAAATAAACTGTCAATTTAAAGAGTGACACTAAGGAAATAATAGTGCAGGGAGGAAGTGGGTATTGCAAAAGTTGTCCTGAATAATTGAACTTTGGAAAACAGTAACCATCTGTTGGCATAAAGAGAGAAGCATTCCCTATTCCCTGATAGGGCATTAGCCAGGGTCTGTGTAGGAAGCTTCTCAGAAGAGGGTAAAAAGATACCAATATACCATCCCATTTCAATGCAAGGAAGAATAGCTGGAAGCCTGAGAAATGGTGGGAAGATTGATTGGGGGTTGGCAGGGGGGCACAAAGGCTATGGTGAGAGGCAAAATTCCAGGGCTATTTCGGGCTGGGGAAGGTGTGAGGGTCCCCCGTCCCCCACCCAGGAGCCTGCTCTGGGCTGAGGACACGCCTGCTAATTCATTTTGAGACCAGTGTCCTGAATGAATACCCATTTCCCTCTGCTTCTCCCACCCAGGCCTGCCTGCCTTGGAAGCCAATGACTTGGTTGGTGAGTAGGACTCCAAACTGCCCTGCTCCTGCTACCCCACATTTTCCCTTTAAGACCCCACATCCTGCCTCCTGGTTCTGGTCCTTATTCTTTTTATTTTCCTCCCCTTTTCCTGCAGATAAAGACAGTCCCTTCTACTATGGTAAGAGCTGATACCCCCATCCCCCACTCCTACCTTTGTCTTTCCTGGACCTCTTGGCTAGAGCTTGGTGAGGGCTGGGACTGGGGATTACAGAGTCAGTATGGTCTATGACAAGAGAGAGAGGCCAACATGCAACATGGTCTTTGGGAGAGCTTCATTCCAAAAGGAGAGAAGGTACCCATGAGACATTTAGGAAAATTTCTGGGGAAGGGGCTGGAGGCTGTTGGGCCTCCAGGATATTATCTCCCCTAACATTCCTTCAGTTCTCTAACTTGCCAGAGCCCAGCACCCGCTACTTGTCGCCCTGCAGCCCCAGCAGCTTTCCTCTTCTTCTGCCTGCCACCATCCTCCACGGACCCTGCACACCCTTCCTCTTCCCCTAGCCTCCTTGCAAATGCCACCTTTCAGAAAAGCCTGCCTTGATCAAAAAGCCTTTCAACTCCCTTCGTTATTCTGTGCTTTCCTGCTTATTTTTTCTTCATAGTTCTGTTCACAGCATTTAGTATACGGTGTTTCTGTTTACTGGCCTTTCTTGTTGCCTGAAATGTAAGCACATCTTCACAAGCAGATGATCACTAATATCTTTTGAATGAATGAGGGGGTTGGAGCCAGGCTGGTGCCAGCTCACTCTCTGCTCCCCCAGACTGGGAAAGCCTGCAGCTGGGCGGGATGATTTTTGGAGGGCTCCTGTGCATCGCTGGAATCTTGATAGCCCTGAGTGAGTGGTGGGGCTGGTAGGGTGGTGGGCACAAGGGGAGGGGTGTGATGGCCCAAGCTCCCCAGGTTCTCCACACTGACAATCTCTTCCTCTCACAGGTGGAAAATGCAAATGCAAATACAATCAAAAGCACAGGTGAGATGGGGTAAGGTGGGGAGCCCGGAAATTGTATGCCCCTGGAGCTGAGCACACCTATGTGGGGTAAAGTCCAGCAATTTAGCTAAAGAGGACAGCCTCTTGGCTACTCCCTGGGCTTGCAGTGGGATTTGTTATTCACAGATAATCAACCCTGAAGTGCCCCACATCAGGGAAAGCTAGAACCCTTAGTATTGTTTAAGGTGACAATGGAAGAATAGCAAGTACGTGTGCCCCCTGGGAGGGAACACCAGACGTCATCTTGGGGGATAAGGACAGAAGGGCTGGGGATGCTAATTTGATGTGTTCCTTTCTCAGCCCCTTACCTGAGAAAGCCACTCCACTCATCACTCCAGGTGAGACGGGCTTCTTTGGCCTCTTTAAGAGACTTCCAGGCACTCAGGCAGGATGGCCGTAGCATTCAGGCCTTACTAAATACCATGCATAAGGCTGTCCTGAGCCAGCCCATCCTTGGGGTTTTGGGAGGCTGAGGGGGTTGGTTGTCTTTGTAGTGACCATGTCTGTGAGGACCTGACCCCCATTCTCTCCTCAGGCTCTGCCAGTACCTGCTGAGCACAGGCACTCCTGGTACCATCTCCCATGCTGTTCCCTCCCTACTTGGCGGCCTTAGCCTCCATAATGGCCTTTCACTCCAAGAAAGGCTCCCTTCTGATCAGGAGGCTGTCCAAAGCTTATTTCTCTATTAAACTGTCTCATCTCCCCCCCTCCAGTGGTCTTGTGACTTTCTGTGGGTCTGGTCAGGGCTGGGCAGGCTGGGCAGGGACTCTGACATCTTGCTCAGGGATGCCCTGGCCCCTCAGTGGCTAGTGGGGAGGGGTTCCTGTGAATTGCTAATGCTTCTTGTGGCCACATGTCTGTCCTGAGGCCCACTCCCAGCATGCCCCCCACTTTGAAAACTTCTGGATAATTGATCTTCTGCAATTGTCTCATCCATGCACCGTGCAGGATACCTCAATGTTATATCAAAGGACCTTACCATTTCCACACCTTGCCTAGAGGCCCTAGAAGTCCCAGTGAGCCAGGTACCCATGACATTCTCTCACCTAAAATGATCCCCAGGAGGGGATCCCACCCCAGGAGGGTGACTCCACTAAGATGCCACCTCACTCGGTGAATGCTCTATAGCTTTCACACAGCTCAGAAAATGAAGCAATTCTTTCATTAACCCACCCCAGTAAAACCCTATATAAACCTCAGACAACCCCATGGACTCTCTGTCCACCCCAAATAATATCCTGTAGGACCTTACTATGCGCTATATCCCAAGAAACCCTGCATCTAGAACCAAAAGCCATCCATACAAATCTAGATCCCCTGGTATGTCCAAAGTCCACTCCTGAAACACCTCACTTGAAAGGTCCCTGCATGTATGGGGTGCAGCTGGGGAAATGCCTCTCTCACCTCGTCAGCCTGTCTATCCTGCAGCCTCATCCTTCATGCCAACTTCCATAGTCCAGGATGGAAGGAGCTAAGGTGCAGAGTCCAGCCCCTGATCCCTGCATTGACCCTGGGTTAGAGGCAGGCTGAAGCAGCAGAGATCTGCCCTGTCTCTGCCAGATAGTGGTGCAGTCTGGGGTGCACCAGATCTGGGGTGATGGGACAGCCATGTTGGTGCATCTTGGTGTTGCTTCAAGCCAGCTCTCTCTAATGGTGTACTTTTCCAAACCCTCCCTCCACTTCTCAGGGTGGTGCTGGGTCCTGTGGAAATTACGATGCATCCTGGACTTCAGGCCCCTGACTTGTAGATCTGGGTTAGGAGGCCAGAGGAGGGGAGTCTGAAAGCTGACCCCGCCTCCTGGTTGCCAGGCCATCCCAGGCCCCTAGGTATAAAAATGAGATTCAGAGATCTGCTTAGGGCCCTTGAAACAGGACACATAGGAGATGGGGGTCGGGGAGGGTTCCAAGGTGGGACCAGAGCTGCAGCAGAAATTCCAAGAACCTGAGCAAGACTCGGGACACCTGGCTGAAAGTGCAGCCACTGTCTAAGTGGATGACCAAGGGTGGCAGGGACCCATGGATGTCGGTGGCTGTGCCAAGTTCATCACCCACCAGGACTGGTGCTATAAGGCCCAGCATTCTAAGCTCATGCATCCTGTGGAGAAAACAAAATGAGTGTGTTTCAGCAGCAGGTGTGCATGTGCAGCAATGGGTGATGTGATTGGGTTAAGAGAGGACATCTGGAGCAGCCCAGGGGGCTCAGCAGTTTAGCGCCGCCTTCAGCCCAGGGTGTGATCCTGAAGACTCAGGATGGAGTCCCACGTCGGGCTCCCTGCATGGAGCCTGCTTCTCCCTCTGCCTGTGTCTCTGCCTTTCTCTCTCTCTCTCTCTCCCTCTCTCTCTCGAATAAATGAATTTTTAAAATCTTAAAAAAAAAAAAGAGGACATCTGAATTCTCAAAAGTGCATGATTAGAGGAGCCAGCGCACAAACCTCTTTCCTGGTACAGAGAACAGTGCTTGCAGTCAGTCTTTTGAGGACCAGAGAAAAGTCAGTGTGAATGGAACATAGGCAATGAGATCAAAGAGGAGGCAGGTGTGGCCCCTGCAGGGAGAACCACTAGCCCTTTTGAGCTGGCACAGGAGGTGGGAGCAGGAGAAAGGCAGGAGAGCTTGGGGCGTCCAGGCCGGCGGAGCCCACTGTGAGGAAGCAGCCAGAAGCTCCCGCTAACCTAGAGCACCCGAAAAGCAGCTTCCAGACTTGCTTTGCTATCCTGGGGAGTGGGGTACATGCGTGACCTCTTCTCCTTGGGCATGGGGGGATGCTAGTGTGAGTGGATCACATTTGAGAAAGTAAAAATGAGCTGTGCTTAGAAAAGCAAAGGCTATGGCTTTCTGTGAGGCTGGGGTGGCAGACACCATGGTGACATTGTCAGAACTCTACCTTCTGGGTGACCGAACTGCTTTTTTAAAAGTTTATATATTTAAGTAATCTCAAAAACCCAACCTGGGGCTCGAACTCACCAGGAACTCACGAATGACATGCCCTACTGACTAAGCCTGCCAGGTGCAGTGGGACCTAAGACACTCTGACCTGAGACTCAGCGATTCCAACCTGGGCACCCGCTCCGGGTAAAGGGTTTCTGCACACATTCCACTTCCATCTTAATGTTTTAGTGCCCAGGCTCCACTTTGAGGTGGACACCAGTCCCAGGCCTGCTTTCCTTTCTGCCAGCCAAACACAGCTTTATTCTAACTTCATCTGAACAAATGGTCCCATAAGTAACCACTCTGGGGTGGAGGACGCCATGACCCCACTACCCCCAGCACATGGGACTCCTTCATCGGCCAGCATCAGTGAGCCTGACTTTGTCCAATTACAGGCTGGTACCTAGTGGTTTAGGCTGGTTCTGCCTGTCCAAGGCTGGGGTAAGGAGCTCGTGGAGAATATCTGGGGTCTGGATGAAATCATGGGTAAGGGATGCTCGGGTGGCTCAGCAGTTTATCACCTGCCTTCGGCCCGGGGCATGATCCTGGGGTCCCAGGATCAAGTCCCTCATTGGGGTCCCTGTGCGGAGCCTGCTTCTCCCTCTGCCTGTGTCTCTGCTTCTCTCTGTGTCTCAGATGAATACATTTTAAAAAACTTTAAAAAAAAAAAATCACAGGTAGAAGTCAGGGACTGTGATAGGCGGTAGGGGGTGGAATCCATGTTAGCCTGTGAGTTTGGCAACTAGGCCCTGGAGTTGGGGCTGCTGATTCCCAAGAAGAACAAGTCCTGCCTCTACCCCCGTCCTTACTCCCCATTTCAACCACCAACCCCCTGGAAGGGAGAGGGAAAGGTAGCCATAGAATGAGAGGAGTCTCTGCCCAGGCTTCCCTTTGTGGAATTACTCCTGGTGCCCCAGAGCCCCCTTCCCTGGGCCTGTTTCTTCTTGGCTTTAGCTACAATTCCTCCTTTTGTTGTCTTCTCCCAGAGAAGGAGTTTGCCTAGGAAAGAACCAGAGTAAGCAAAGGGTAATTTCTACTTAATTGAACACTTAGTATGTGATGGTCACTGTTATAAACACTTCACGTGTTAACTCAATTTTCCCAGGAACTTATGGGAACTTGTATTATTCCATCTGTGCATAGGATGAGACCAAAGTTTTCAGAGGTTCTCGGAGGCTATCTAGCTCCTGAAGTGTTTCTCAAGGACTGGGCTATGCTGCCTTTCTGGTATTTATCACTCTGAGAAAGAACCCAGTGATTGTGCCTACTTGGGGACTATCTATATCCCTCCCTGTTTTATGTATATATGTATGTATGTTTATTTATTTTTTATGTAAGCTCTATGCCCAACATCGTGCTTTAACTCATGACCTGGATATCAAGAGCTGCATGCTCTGGCTGCCTGGATGGCTCCGTCAGAAGGGCATGAGGCTCTTGATCTTGGGGTCCTGAATTGGAGTCCAAGTTGGGTATAGAGATTACTTAAATAAACTTAAAAAAAAAAAAGAGTCTCATGCTCTACCAAGCCAGCCAGACACCCCTTCCCTATTTTTAAATTTAAATAATCTTATTATTTTTTCTTTTTCTTTAAGATTTATTTATTTTAGGAAGAGCAAGAAAGAAAGTATGTGGGTGCAAGAGTAAGGGGAGCGGCAGAGGAGAGGACCTTCGAGGAGACTCCCTGCTGAAAGTGGAGCCCAACTCAGGGCTGGATCCCATGACCCATGAGATGGTGACCTCAGCCAAAACGAAGGGTCAGACACTTACCCAACTGAGCCACCCAGGTGCCCCATCTTATTTTTTCCAATTGCAAACATTTTTCATGCTTATTACAGAAAGCCTGAACATTACAGAGATGTCTCATTTAGGTAAATCAGTTTTTAACCCAGCATTCAGAAACAATCAAGGGGAAAGTTTGATATAATATTCTATAACTTTATATATAAGTAATATAATATTATATATTATATACAGGTTATATAGCATTCTATATTTCTCTGGCGATCCAGCCATGTTGTTATATTAATCAATATTTCATTACTTTGTATTGCTGAGTAGTCATCAGAGTTTTTAAAATAAGGGCCTACTGGGATCCCTGGGTGGCGCAGCGGTTTGGCGCCTGCCTTTGGCCCAGGGCGCGATCCTGGAGATCCGGGATCGAATCCCACGTCGGGCTCCCGGTGCATGGAGCCTGCTTCTCCCTCTGCCTGTGTCTCTGCCTCTCTCTCTCTCTCTCTCTCTCTCTCTCTCTCTCTCTCTGTGACTATCATAAATAAAAAAATAAAAAAATTCTTAAAATAAAATAAGGGCCTACTAACTTAAGAAAAAGTTGTAAGTTTTTATTCTAAGACTAATGGCTTAAATAAACATTGTAATATTTCTGTTTCCCAAAAGGTAGCAGCACCTTCATTTTTTTTAAGATTTTATTTTTAAGTAATTGCTACACCCAATGTGGGGCTCAGACTTACAATCCTGAGATCAAGAGTCACATGTTCTAGTGACTGAGCCAGTGAGGCACCCCTTATCCTCAATTTTTATGTAAAATGCTCTAAAACCTAGGGTAAGAAGTAAGGCCAACGGCTAACACAAGGGAGCATGACTGGAGCCATCTGGGTAGGTAGCTGGTTAGGTCCTATGCCTGGCTCTGTAGATGAATTTATTACTCAAGTCTCAACCCAGCCATCAGAGGAATATTCTTAAGGCAAGATCAGATCAACTCTGCTCCAGATGAACCAGAGATACCCTATTTATCTTAGAGAAAAATCCCTTTAACATGGCCTATAGGCCCTACTTCTGACTCCAGGCCCTACCAATATTCCATCTTCACCCACTCTCTCCTACACTCGACCTGCCTCCTAGGTGTTGTCTGAACACAGTGTAGGCTCCAGCCTCAGCCTTAAGGCACCACAGTCCCTTCCCTCTACTGGCCATTCTCCCAGTTCCCCAGCATCCTTGCATTACCAACTCCCTTCCTTTAGGCCCTTGTTAGGAGGCCTCCTGACCACACTACAACTGCACCAGGATTCTCATCACTGTATGCTGCTGCTCCTTTGTATTCAGCCCTAATTCTCATACTACTGATGTTTTATTGATTTGTTATGGTCTCCCACCCCTACCGGAATGTACAAATTGGTGCCTACAGAATTTTCCAAATTTGTTCACAGACTTGGCTCTTCTCAAATTGCCATTTTATGGTTTCCACTGAGTACGTATTGGCCATTTTGAGCTTATGTTCTTAGGGCAATTTTTAAAAATCTGGCTGCATTCTTGCCACCATCCCCTCAAAAATGATAATAGCACATGGGTTTTTTTTTTTTTTTTTTTAAGATTTTATGTATTCATGAGAGAGAGAGAGGCAGAGACATAGGAAGAAAAGCAGGCTCCATGCAGGGAGCCCAATGTGGGACTTGATCCCAGGACCCCAAGATCACGCCCTGGGCCAAAGGCAGGTACTCAACCACTGAGCCATTCAGGCATTCCACCACATCAGTCTTCTGGTTATCCTGTACCTCTGATATACATACATGATATGTGTCATTATCAAAAATATCCAGGCATAAAAGACAAACCAGACACCAGACAACACAGATACAGAGAAAGAAGATGCAGATTTTGGAGTGATCAGAGCAAGACTAAACTATGACAAATATGTTCAAGGAATGAGATGTATGGAGATTCTCAGAAGAAAACTGAATGTATGCATTGTGGGTTAAGCTGTGTACCTTAAAAAGGTTATGTTCCAAGTTGTAACTCCCAGTACCTGGAACTACGTATGACCTTATTTGGAAATAGAGCTCCTGCAGATATAATCATTTTAAGATGGGGTCATACTGAATTAGGTTGGGTCCTAATTCAATGACTAGTGTCCTCATAAGAAAAAAAATCTGGACACAGGTATAAGGCCATGTGACAATAGATGCAGAGATGGGAATGATGCAGCTGCAAGCCAAGGAACAGCAAGTTGTGGGCAACCATGGAAGCTAGAAAGAGTCATGGAAGGATTCTTCCTTGGAACTTCAGAGTGTGGCCTTGCCAAAACCTTGATTTTGACTTCTTCCCTTTAGAACTGTGAAAAGTTTTTTTTAAGATTTTATTTGAGAGAAAGAGACAGAATAAGAGCAGGAAGAGGGAGGAGCCTCCCCTCCTGGGCAGGGAGTTCGATGTGGGGCCCAATTCCAGGATCCTGGGATTATGACCTGAGCTGAAGGCAGATGCTTAACTGATTGAGCCACCCAGGTGCCCCTCTTTTTCTTAAGTTTACTTATAATCTCTGGACTCAACATAGGGCTTGAACTCATAACCCTGAGATCAAGAGTTGCATGTTCCACAGACTGAACCAGTCCTAACAATATTTTGAGGGAGAAATAACAAAAGCTTTCTCTCTGAAATTTGGTAATAAGACAAGGATGTCCTCTGACCCCAACTTTGTTCAGTGTCGTTTTGGTTTTTTTTGTTTTTTTTTTTCCAGCATCATAGTTCTAATGATAAAAAACAAACTTAAATCTAAGAGCAGGCAACAAAGCAAGAAAAGAATAAAGGACATAAAGATAAGAAAATCAATAAAAGGGCAGCCCCGGTGGCTCAGCGGTTTAGTGCCGCCTTCGGCCCAGGGCCTGAACCTGGAGACCGGGGATCGAGTCCCATGCATGGAGCCTGCTTCTCCCTCTGCCTGTCTCCCTCTGTCTCTGCCTCTCTGTCTCTCATGAATAAATAAAATCTTAAAAAATAATCAATAAAACTATCATTTGCAAACATTTTTATGTAGAAATTTACATTTAAATTAGCATAGCTAAGTGAATTTAGCAAGGCCACAATCAATATAGAAATCCATGGTATTTCAGGACACCTTTGTGGCTCAGTTGGTTGAAGGTCCGACACGATTTTGGCTCATGTTATGATCTCAGGGTCATGAGACTGAGCCCCATGTCAGGCTCTGTGCTCAGTGGGGAGTCTTCTGGAGATTCTCTCACCCTCTCCTGCCCCCTACCCTGGTGCTCTCTAAAATAAATAAATCTTTTTTGAGTACGCTTGGGTGAGTCAGTTTGTTAAGCATCTGATTCTTGATTTCAGCTCAGATCATGATCTCAGGGTCCTGAGATCAAGCCCCGTGCTGTGCTCCGTGCTCAGTTCAGAGTCTGCTTGTCCCTCACAGTTCTCTTTTTCTCAAATAAATAATCTAAAAAAAGAAAAAGAAAAAAAAATCTGAGCCTGGGTAGCTCAGCAGTTTAGTGTCTGCCTTCAGCTCAGGGCATGATCCCAGGATAGAGTCCCACATCTGGTTCCCCGCAGGGAGCTTGCTTCTCCATCTGCGTCTCTGCCTCTGTCTCTCATAAATAAATAAATATATATTTTTTAAAACCTAGAGTATTTCTTGGGGCACCTGACTGGTTCAGTCAGTAGAGCATGCAATTCTTGATCTCGGGGTCGTGAGTTCAAACCCCACTTGGGTGTAGAGTTTACTTTAAAAAAAATCCATAGTGGCTCAGCAGTTGAGCGTCTGCCTTCAGCTCAAGTCATGATCCCACGGTCCTGGGATTGAGTCCCACATCAAGTCCCGCATCAGGCTCCCTGCATGGATCCTGCTTCTCCCTCTGCCCATGTCTCTGCCTCTCTGTGTCTCTCCTGAATAAATAAAATCTTTAAAAAAAAATACTCGCAGCAAATCAAATCCGAGACAACATGTAACATATAGGGCAGCCCTGGTGTCTCAGCGGTTTAGGACCGCCTTCGATCCAGGGCGTGATCCTGGAGACCTGGGATGGAGTCCTGCATCAGGCTCCTTGCATGGAGCCTGCTTCTCACCCTGCCTGGGTCTCTGCCTCTCTCTCTGTGTCTCTCATGAATTAAAAAAAAAAAAAAACACACACACATGTAACATATAATAAAATACCTGGAAACAAATCTCATGAAATATATGCAAAAATTTCTACACAAAAACGAAAAACAAAACTGAGATGCCTTAAAGGAGCCTTATGAAGGCAGCCCGGGTAGCTCAGCGGTTTAGCACCACCTTCAGCCCAGGGCATGATCCTGGAGACCCGGGATCGAGTCCCGTGTTGGGCTCCCTGCATGGAGCCTGCTTCTCCCTCTGCCTGTGTCTCTGCCTCTTTCTCTCTCCATGTCTCTCATGAATGAATTAAAAAAAAAAAAGAGCCTTATGACTTGATACATCTGCCAACATCCTACAGCATGGGTGGTATTAGTGCAGAGTGAACTCAGGAGCTCTAGGAGCTGCCTTTGGAGGTTTTTTGTTTTTAAAAAGATTTGAGAGAAAGCGAAAGCACAAGCTGGGGAAGAGGGACAAAGGGAGAGGGAGAAGCAGACTCCTTGCTGAGCAGGAAGCCTGATGGGGCTCCATCTCAGGACCCTGGGAGCATGACCTGAGCCAATGGCAGATGTTTGAGCCACCCAGGTGCTCCAGGAGCTGCTTTATGAATAGTAAATAGCTCTGTGACGGAGGAGACATGGCCTTGATTTGTAATACTCAGGGTCTAAGCTGTGACTGTTGAGACTTGTCAGAGACACCACACAAAACCATTGTATAAATAGATACCCCCATGATGGGGGCCAACTGTCCTTTTTGGCAGATGGCTGGGCAGCTTGCAGAACCCCTGCAGCCTTCTGGTCACCTAATAATTAGGTAGGAGCTGTATTTTCATGTGTAAAGTAAACTATCTCCAAAATCCAAAATGTCTTACCAAAATTTCTGCCTCTTAGTGATGCATGATCTTGGCCTTTACCTTGGAGGAAATGTCCTAGTTCTGCTCAAGGCCAAAGATTGGTTGGTAAACTCTTCCTATAAAGGCTCAGATTGTACATACACTAAGATAATGTTAGGTTTTGTGGGCCACACGGTCTCTGTTAAAACTACCCATCTCTGCCAATGTAGTACAAGAGCAGCCACCAGACAGAACAAATGGGCATGGCTGTATACTAATAAGACATTTAACAAAAACCAAGCAGCAGGCCAGATTTGGCCCTAGGACCCTACTTTGCCCATTCTCACCCAAGACTGTTAGACCCTTAAAACTTCCCTAATGTGGCAGAGCCCTGAATTCTTCCTCTCTCTAGCACACCTGTCCTCCTAAGTCAACCAGAGCACTCGTGCTTTCTCCCCAACAAACCCAATGAGGACATTAATATAGTGGATCATGGCAAGGTGATCAATGTCTCTTCAGACTCTACTGTAACAGCAG